CATCCGAAGAAGAAGAAGAAGAAGAAGAAGAAGAAGAAGAAGAAGAAGAAGAAGAAGAAGAAGAAGAAGAAGAAGAAGAAGAAGAGGAGGAAGGAGACGACTGTAATGGCTCCAGCCCCCAACAGTATTTAGGAGATGGAAGCCTGCAGCCTGGGCTGCAGAACAGGGTGTTGTCTCAGAACACACACGGTGGCAGAATGCTCGTGTGCCATGTGCACCATGAACAAAAGGCAAGCAAGGAGAAGAGGGGGAGGAATAGAAGAGTCAAGGGTTGGGTGGGAGGGAAACACCGAGCATCGCTGCCAGGTTGGAGTCGTTAACCGTCAGAACCATGGACAGAGCCAGGGCTGCCTTTAAGGGGCCCTTGACCGGGGTGGGGGATGGGGGGAGGTTTCAGGTCTCACGGAGGTGACTCACATCAGGAGAGATTCAGACCTCCTTTGGATGAGGGCTTGTCTGTGCCTCTGGGGTAATTCCCACCCAGCGGCCAGGAGAGGACTCCTGAGGACTGTGTCTGTATGGTCTGTGTGCCGATTTTCATTCCCTTGCAAAAGAGTCTGCAGCCTCTCATCTTTTTAAATCAGTGAATGCTCAAGTCTCCCTAGGGAGACTTGCCCGGATTTCACAGAGCCAATGGCTGTCCCCCCCCCCAAGACTTCCTGTCTGTCCTAGGCTTGTGTTTATGTAGCATGGAGACCATGGGTCATCTCCCACAGAGGCGGCCCATCATCACCAATCCAGCAGACTCTGCATATTGCCTAGTGATTCATAACACAAAACCTGACTAACAGGAAGTGGAATGGCACACAGACCCATGACTGATGGAGTACCCTGCCTCCATAAGTGCTTCCATTTCCAGGTTGTTTTAAAATCGGAAGACCTGCCTTAGGGAATGGCAGTGAGCACTGAAGGAGTACACCACGGTGCTCTGCATAATGCCTGGCACACAGTAGGTGCCATTCAGCAGCTGGTACCTGACGGGGCCGTGCCTAGCGTGAGCAGGTGGGGGGCGGGGAAAAGCATGCCTAGACATCCCGCCCATTAGGGACTCAAGTGTGGTCCTGCAAGAACTAAGGAAGGCAGGCTGCGACCTGGCTCAGCTAGTAAAGGCGCTTGCAGGAGAAGCCTAATGGCCTGAGTTCGATTCCCAGAACCTACAAGGTGGAAGGAAGAGAAATGTCTCCTGTGGACTGTCTTTTACACACACACACACACACACACACACACA